GAAGAAGATTCATACCGATAATAATTCTTCAGACATGTTGACAAAGGTGGTCACAAAATCAAAGTTGGAATTCTGCATTAAGGCTGCTGGGATGGACTCCAGGTAACTTGGAGTCATGATCGGAATTCCTCCCTCATGGACTGGAGGGGGAGATTGTTGGTATATGGTCCAGCCCATGATCAATGTTCTAGATTATTCTAGTAAGCAAGAGAGATGGCTGGAGCATGCTAGACAATTCTAGCATGTTATTAAGTTGATGGAAAAAGCTAGAGAGTACTAGCTTCCTTGGTTGCAAATGGAAAGATCTAGAAGCCACACTTTTGTGGCTAGTCTAGATCTTTCTATGCTAGAGGTTTGAAGAATACACTAGAAACTAGTAGAATGCCAAACCCTCACCTATAAATATGGGTGTGATGTTGTAGTGAAACAACAAAATCAAGAGAGTAGTGAGTAGCAAAGGATCAAGTCCAAAGCTAGAGTTCCACTCCAAGAGTGAGAGTGAGAGTGTTCCACTACACATTGTGTGAGTGAAGTTTAGTGTGATAGAAAGTGTGTGTCCTACTTTCTTGTATCCATCAAGCCTTGTCTTTGGCTTGGTAAGACTACTCTTGTTGTATAGTGAAGATTGATCCTTGTTTGGTGGACGTAGGCATAAATTGCCGAACCACATAAATTTTTGGTGTCCATTTTCTACTTTACTTTGTGCATTCTCTATCTTGTAGTACCGACATTCCTAACAAATAAGCCATGGTGTCACTGTCTTGTTTCACTTTCGGAAGCTCCTTCTCAAGCCATTTGTATCGAGGAGTATATTTCCCTGCAAACAAAGCACAATTTGCGCGAGAGCACATAATAAGCATAACTAACCACGACTGACTCAGTACTGCAAAATTGGTCGCACGAGATGAATTGTGGCTATAGAAGTGAGATGTAAGCATTCTTACCATATGCTGAGTAAGAGGATAAGAATACTATATATGCTGAAGCTCTCTCGATCGATGGAGTACCATAGCGGGGATACACTGCATGAAGCTAAGCTTCGTACAGAAGAAAATAACGGGTTGTGTATGGTTTGAAGGGTTTACTTTCTCCTTGACAACATTGCAGTTATATCATACGCTTAATCATTTGTACAACAACTTGTTGCAGAACAAGATCGAAGTACTGCAAAAAAAAAAAAAAAAAAAAAAAAAAAAAATAGAGACATACAAGCTCAGGACAAAATCAATTTCGTGATTTCCTGCAGTCTAAGTGCAAGGCTGGTAAGCGACATTTCTCTCTACGAACCTCCCCCATGTATCCGGTATCCCACCGGTTATTGTCATGAAACGGAGAATCATCTGCGTAAGTAAGGTCCCCAAAAAACAATACCGTCTGTCCTTTCATAGGGTTTAAGTCATAATGTGAGAGTGTACGATTTGAATCGTGAGTTTGGCCAAGATCCCTGCTCAAAATGCAAACCACATTGATGAGAACAAGATAGGACACACAAAAATATGGTTCAAAGCATAATAAACAGCACAAGTGTGCCAATTTGTGCAAAATTTCTAAATGCATCAAATTTGAATTACCTGTGAGGCCAAGACACAATCACACTTCTCCCCTCATGATCTCGTTGTGTTATATGCACCTTCATCAATCACAACACTCAAAATTCAGAAAGCCCTAGTCAGGGCTCACCCAAAATACTACAGAAATCAAAATCATAATATTAATAAATCATCAATCTTGAAGAACCTATAAAAAAATCTAAATCTCTGACGTGAGTTAGGTAAAAAGAAACTACCATAATCCAAATACCTCCATAGTAATTGAAACAAAATGATAAGTGAACATGTTTATCTTGTTATTTAAATAAAAAGGTAAAAAGAAAAATAAAAAACTGACACCTTGTTTCAGTTGTCAGCAAGTTCATCACTTATGTCAACTCTCAGTCAGCTTCAGCAAGATATACTTATAGTCAGTCTTCTCTATAGTTTAAGAATTTTCCCTCCTACCGTCATTCATCAATTACGATTTATCTGAGTTAAAATCTGATGTGGATCTTCATGTAATGGGCGGATTTAATAAAAGAAAATGAAAAATGAAAGCCAAAACTGGAATTTGGCTCCTCTCCGATTGCCACCTGAGCAAGAAAGCAAACAAAGGTGTAAGCCAAGTGTTTATTAGAGATTTAAATAGCTAGCCATGGACACGATATCTCTGTTGAATATATCATTCTAGCTCAACAATAGTTAGTTAGACAGTTGAGAATGTGGCTATATAAACTGTTGTCTTATAGTTGTAAATATTCATTCAATCAATACAATTCCTATTCTCTCTAAACACTCTCTCTCTAGAATCTCTTTTGTTTCTCTCTGCCTTCTTCCTCTTTCTCTATACAATTCCTTAATATTTGCAATGTAGTTAATATGGTATCAGAGCCACCAGGCTCACGCCTTCGATTCTGGTGGTTTCGTTTTTACTTAGATTTCGTCATTTTTATTTTCATTAGGTTTTCTCTTCAAATTTTCTTGAAATTTCCGTCAAGTTCTTCGGTGCTTCTGCTCTCCAGTAGATGAGCAATGCGATCGTAATCGACGAGAAGGTCCTAAACGGGTGAATCAACGAGATCACTGGGTGACTCAACGAGATCACTCGCTAATTCAAGCTCGTCTGCACTCGCTCCCTGCTCCAATCCGATGTTCAATTCTAGCTCGTCTGCACAATTTTCAAACTCCGTAGCCTCAACGCCATGGTCAGCTTTTGTGGGCTTCAAATTCTCGACATTTGACGAATCTGACGAACTGGGTTTTACCAAAACCGGCAAATCGCTCAAACCCAGATCACAATTCGGAAACCCGGTCAGGACGAAAAGCGAACCGCCGCCGCGTTTCGGCGATTGGAGGTCGGCGACGAATTGGGAAATCCGTGTCGTTCTGGTTTTTAGTTTGAGCAGAAAGGTCTCACTCTCTGCTCTTTCTGCAGATTATGGTATGGTTCTTTGCTTATTTCCTTCATAATGTTTACTGAATTTGCACTGGATTTGGGTATGGTTCTTGAAGTTCTTGGAGTCTAGTTGCTGTTCTTGGATGGGTGCTCTTGCTGTAATCTTTTCTGGTGGCACTGTTGGAATCAGGTCGTTACATTTCTTTGGTTTTTCAATTCTGCACAGAAGGTGTTTGTGTTTTTGGATCAATGAAATTTTATGCAGTGTTGGTGTGAATTTTATATGATCTGTTTCGGGGTTTGCGTATATGATTAAGGCTGATAGCAGTGGTTGGGAATCGAAGAAATTTATGAAGTTGCTTGTGAAAGAGAGAATTATGCAGATTATATGCATGAATCGGTACTTTCTTTTGTTGAATCTTTAGAACCTCCTGGTGTCCATTCTGATTCTTTAAGACTAGATGCCACATTAAGAGCTGTTAGCATGCTTTGCATTGCCTTCTGTAGCTATCCAGAGACCAATCTGTCACTAAGCATCTTTCGTCAGATGTACGCATGGATGCCATGGGTATTCCAGCAGGCAAAGCAAGGAATTTCAGTTGCACTTGATATTTCCATCTACCTGGAAGGAATTCACAGCATGCTGCTTTTGCAGAGTCCCTTAATGATGGAGAGTATGGGGTTCAAAAAAAAAAAAAAAAAAAAAAAAAAAAAGAATTTTGCTTCAGTATCCTTGTCAATGGATAATGCCAGGCAACCTGGGGATAATTCTTGTCCAAGTGCAGGAGTTTGTGCAGTATATTTCTTTTCACAGCCTATAATGTCGAGTCTAACCAACTCAATTGTTAGCATGAATCTACAGTAAGTCCGGTTATAGATGAAGTTTGAAGAAGTTGTTAACGGTAAATCCCACGAAGGGTAATCCCGTGTTTTGAGTAGGTAAATCCCACGAAGGGTAATCCTACATAGATGTTGATTTTCAGTTGTTGAAATTGTGAAGGCCAATGCCATTGTTCAAAGAAGTTGTTTTTGGTAAAATCCACAAAGGGCGATCCCGTGGTGCTATAGTTAAGGCCGATGCCACACTATAGTTTGTTATTTGTCTGTTTTTTTTTTTAGAGGCCGAAGCCAATGTTAAATGAAGTTGTTGACGGTAAATCCCACGAAGGGTAATCCCGTAAGAAATTGTTATAACCGGCCTGAGGGTATGTTACAATTTTATAAGAGGCTGTTCTTTGATTGAAGCTCCTGCACAAGGCAGAGGAATATTAGACTTTTGGATGTGCTTCCTACTGGGCTTGCAGATTGAGTTTGGGGCAGTGAGTCAATGAATATATTTGGGGCAGATTGATGTTCACTGCTGCTCTGCAGCCATGGAGGATTAATTGATGATGGGAGCAGGGCTAGGAGTACATCGACAAGAAGGATTTCATTGTTCTGCAGCATTCATTCAATCTCAACCTGGGGATCCCAGTTGAGATTGAGGGGGGATGTTGAATATATCATTCTAGCTCAACAATAGTTAGTTAGACAGTTGAGAATGTGGCTATATAAACTGTTGTCTCATAGTTGTAAATATTCATTCAATCAATACAATTCCTATTCTCTCTAAACACTCACTCTCTAGAATCTCTTTTGTTTCTCTCTGCCTTCTTCCTCTTTCTCTATACAATTCCTTAATATTTGCAATGTAGTTAATAATCTCCTATTCACCAATGCCAAGTATTAAACCCTAATCCTCCACAAGCCACGTTTCAGGTCATGTCTTCCTTACTCCTCGTATATATCTCGCTACCCTTATGGGTGATCACCACCCAAATTAAAAAAATCGCGGAAAAAGAATCCTCAACTACCCAGTGCACAAGGCTTCCGCTTTACGCAGGATCTGGGAGAGGTGAATGTCGGCTAGCCTTACCCCCATTTATGGAGAGGCTGCTCCCAAGTCTCGAACCTGAGACCTACCGCTCATGGGCGAAGGCACTTGCCATCGCACCAAGTGCGACCTCTAGTTGAATTATCCACATGTGTTCTAAAAATTTCACGGAGAAAAAATCCTCAGGTCTTCTAAAAAAAAAGACACCATATGTATTCTTTGAGTTATCCTTAGCACAATGGTTGAATTATTTCGTTTATTTCGTCTTGTTAGAAGACTGATTCCAATTATCTCTATCCTGAATTCCAACTTTGGATGGGAAGTCTTCTAGTCTCACCATTAGGATTTGGAGGATTCCTATTCCTACCTCTTGGGGAAGTTTAAGGTTTGAGCTTATCCGTAGAACGTTTGAGACATTAATTCATCTCTATCTCTGTTTTCAACCATGTTTGTCCCTTTTCTTCGACAAGCATTATCTATATTTGTCAATGCTGTGATTTATTGTCAGTTCTGCAAGTGCACTTATTGCAATTGGAGTTGATGAGACGTAATTTTATTCTTTACCATACTTAAAAGAAGTGCTTCACCTCGCCTTGCCTTGCTGCATCGTGCCCTTCATTACAATACCATTTGTTCGTGGACATGCCAAGGAGGCGAGGCTATGTAGTCACCCTTCCCCAAAATCTCCTTTGCCTTTGAATTTACACGTAAAACAACTTATGCAAACATTAATATGGCAGGTGAGTGAAAACTTGTGCAGCAACTCTACATGGTCTGAGGGCAGTCAAAACTTGTTAAAATGCCAGCTAAAGATGAATGACTCTTCCAAACTGTTTCAATATCTGTTCGTCAACAATGTCGCTTGATCTACAGGTTGTGGAAGACCATGGGATTTTTCGGCGCCTGCGAGTTCGTGGATGGAAATTGCTGGGAGACATTGCATTCGTCTCAATGGCGCACTGAAGGTATAATGATATATGAAGCACTGAAGAGTTCAACTTTATTTACTAAGCCACTACCTTTATCTTTATACGTTCTTCTTTCTATATACTATATATTTACAAACGTACGGAAATAGTAAGTGGTGTGTGTGTATATCTAGTACAAATATATAAATACATATAGAGAGAGATGTTTATGAATATCTATTGGGCTGCGGCGGCGCATGGGACTTTCTGTCGTGATCATCCTGGTGTGCTGTATGTATCATCAGGCATGGGACTCGCAAGTGTTGTTGTCCTTGTGTATGCAAGTATGATATGAATGGTATACTAATATACAAGTAAACATGTATTTGTGGCTCTACTCTGTCTCCTCCGTATTATGCGAATGATTTTCCTTTTGAATCTTGTGATTTGTCTATCTAATCTGAGACACCAAACGAGCTTTCTAAGTTCTGAGTTAGATTAGGGGCGAATTATTTTGTCTTTTTATGTCAACTAGCCGAATCTTCCGAATTCTGAGTTAGATCAGGTGCAAAGGTTGAATTATTTCGTCTTTTTATATTAACCGGATAAACTTTCTGAGTTCTAAGTTAAATTAGCTGCAACGGTTGAATTATTTTAACTATTTTGTCTTTTTATTCCATTATAAATCTTGTGAGTTATTCAATTTAATCTAATGCGAAACATCATATGAGTCATGTGATTAGCCTTGACACAATATTGAATTATTTCATGTATATTTCGTTTGTTAGGAGAGTGGAAGACTAATTCCAGTTAGTCTCTCTATCATTACTCTCCTCTTCTTAGATTTAAAATAGTTTTGAATATTATACTTTTCATGATTATTTATGACAATACGATTCTTATCGAGGTCGAGTCCTCCATGGAGAAATTTGAAGATTTTGTGGATATCAAGAAGGTAAAATATTTTTATTTTTTGAGTCACTACGTCATGTAATTTTTGTTTTCATGTACCAAATTTACTCTTAAGTGACGAATAAAGTAAGTAATATTCTCCCTTGATTTTAGAATTATCTTCTCTCTTTTTTTTCTTCATTTGTGATCAATTTTGATATTTTAAGAATACAATCTTCTTAATAAGGGGATTAGTTATAGAATAAGATCATTTTCCATATTTGCTTCAATTGAGGGACTCTGAATCGTACGGATTGATACTTTCCTGTTTCTTTTTTTCCCCTCTTTTCTTCTACTTCTTGTTTTATGCCCCTTACTTCATTAGGATTTAGCATTCCTCGCACAATCTTCTTCTTCTTCTTCCTCTCATTGTCCTGCTCGTAGATGAGATACTTCGATCGGAAAAGCCTCTAATTTCTACCGTATACGTTTGATTGGTAGAAGGACGGAGATTGCATCAGCCAATATCATCCATTTCATATGGTAATCTTCTTAACTCTGCAAAACTCGTTCGTGTTTATTTATTTATTTCAAATCTGAGTACATGATGCATAGTTTAAATATATTTTCAGTTTTACTATAAAGAGGAAAATGTTCATAAGAAAAAATCAACTGAACCTGCATTGATACGAAAATTGCACTGAACTAAATCCGAAAGCAGCTGAAACTTTTGGACACGGACTAAATGCCCCTAAATAGCTATACACTTATGCTATAACTAATCAACATCAACATGCAGGAAGGAAGCGTAACCACAACCTTGGTAAGCAATGGATGTGTGGACTTCAAGGGAAAAATTGCTGACAAGCAAACAACAGGAGGATGGAAGGCCGCACCATTTATCATAGGTACTTTATAGTAATTCTTAAGAGGTTGCACTTGGTGCGATGGCAAGTGTCTTCGCCCATGAGCAGTAGGTCTCGGGTTCGAGACTTAGGAGCAGCCTCTCCATAAAATGGGGGTAAGGCTAGCCGACATTCACCTCTCCCAGACCCTGCGTAAAGCGGGAGCCTTGTGCACTGGGTACGACTTTATAGTAATTCTTATATGCATTACAAATTTACAATTTTATTATTAGGCTTTTTATGAAAATGGTATTTGAAATTGACATAACGTTTCACTTTGGTCTTTGAGATTTAAAATCGATAGAAGTGTCCCTGAGATTGTCTACCATCAATCATTTTGGTCATTCTGTGATAAATCTATGTTAAACCGACAAAATTTTTGTCAATCAACCCCTTTTCTTGAACTTGTGGTTTTTTTAATTTAACGAAAATTTTCTATAGAAGTACTAAAATGATTTAAGGTAGACTATCTCAAGGATCACTTATATCGATTTTAAATTTTAGGGACAAAAGTAATGAGTTATAACAATTTCAGATATCATTTTAACTAAAAAGTTTATTTATTTATTGAATACATCGATATTTTTACACTAAGAAGAATAGGAGTTCGACTAAGCTACACAATGGATAGCCTAATGTGATATATAATTCGTCATCTATGAGATTCGAACGTATGACCTCTCACTTCAAAGTGAAGAGAAATACTACAAGACCGTAGTACTAAGATTAAATTAATTTTTTTTGTTTTGGCTTAATTAATTGTAGTGAATGAGGTGGCCGAGAGGCTGGCATTTTTTGCAATTGCGGTGAACATGGTGCGTTATTTGGTATACGAGATGCGACAGTCGCTGCCGACAGCGGCGACTCATGTGACGAATTGGATCGGAGCTTCTTACGTCCTCACACTATTTGGAGCCTTTATAGCCGATGCTTATTTGGGCCGCTTCAAAACCATCATCACTTTCTCTTGTATCTATGCTGTGGTATGAAAGCCCATTTCCACTTTCATCTTGGATTTTCATCAACCTGGTTAGGCCCACAAGCCTTATTGGGCCGAAATTCAGATAATTGGACCCATTAGCATGGGGTTGTTTTGGGCCGAAATTCAGATAATTGGACCCATTTGAGTCCATTTCCACTTTCTGTCGTGATCATCCTGGTGTGCTGTACGTATCATCAGGCATGGGACTCGCAAGTGTTATTGTCCTTGTGTATGCACGTATGATATGAATGGTATACTAATATACAAGTAAACATGCATTTGTGGCTCTACTCTGTCTCCTCCATATTATGCGAATGATTTTCCTTTTGAATCTTGTGATTTGTCTATCTAATCTGAGACACCAAACGAGCTTTCTGAGTTCTGAGTTAGACTAGGGGCGAACAGTTGATTATTTTGTCTTTCTATGTCAACTAGCCGAATCTTCCGAATTATGAGTTAGACCAGGTGCGAATGTTGAATTATTTCGTCTTTTTATACTAACCAGATAAACTTTTTGAGTTCTGAGTTAAATTAGGCGCAACGGTTGAATTATTTTATCTATTTTGTCTTTTTATTCCATTATAAACCTTGTGAGTTATTCAATTTAATCTAATGTGAAACATCATATGAGTCATGTGATTAGCCTTGACACAATGTTGAATTATTTCATGTATATTTCGTTTGTTAGGAGAGTGGAAGACTAATTCCAGTTAGTCTCTCTATCATTACTCTCCTCTTCTTAGATTTAAAGTAGTTTTGAATATTATACTTTTCATGATTATTTATGACAATACGATTCTTATCGAGGTCGAGTCCTCCATGGAAAAATTTGAAGATTTTGTGGATATCAAGAAGGTAAAAATATTTTTATTTTTTGAGTCACTACGTCATGTAATTTTTGTTTTCATGTACCAAATTTACTCTTAAGTGACTAATAAAGTAAGTAATATTCTCCCTTGATTTTAGAATTATCTTCTCTCTTTTTTTTCTTCATTTGTGATCAATTTTGATATTTTAAGAATACAATCTTCTTAATAAGGGGATTAGTTATAGAATAAGATCATTTTCCATATTTGCTTCAATTGAGGGACTCTGAATCGTACGGATTCATACTTTCCTGTTTCTTTTTTCCCCTTCTTTTCTTCTACTTCTTGTTATATGCCCCTTCATTAGGATTTAGCATTCCTCGCACAATCTTCTTCTTCTTCTCATTGTCCTGCTCGTGTATGCCCCTTACTTCATCAGCCAATATCATCCATTTCTTATGGTAATCTTCTTAACTCTGCAAAACTCTTTCGTGTTTATTTATTTATTTCAAATCTGAGTACATGATGCATAGTTTAAATATATTTTCAGTTTTACTATAAAGAGGAAAATGTTCATAAGAAAAAATCAATTGAACCTGCATTGATATGAAAATTGCACTGAACTAAATCCGAAAGCAGCTGAAACTTTTGGACACGGACTAAATGCCCCTAAATAGCTTTACGCATATGCTATAACTAAGCAACATCAACATGCAGGAAGGAAGCGTAACCACAACTTTGGTAAGCAATGGATGTGTGGACTTCAGGGGAAAAATTGCTGACAAGCAAACAACAGGAGGATGGAAGGCCGCACCATTTATCATAGGTACTTTATAGTAATTCTTATATGCATTACAAATTTACAATTTTATTATTAGGCTTTTTATAAAAATGATCTTTGAAATTGACATAACGTTTCATTTTGGTCTTTGAGATTTAAAATCGTTAGAAGTATCCATGAGATTGTCTACCATCAATCATTTTGATCATTCTGTGAGAAATCTATGTTAAACTGACGAGATTTTTGTCAATCAACCCTTTTTCTTGAACTTGTGGTTTTTTTAAAGGAAAACTAATGAAAAGGGCTTGAAAACTTTGAGTTTTAACGATAAGGACAAAATAAAGGGTAAAGTGAATAGTACCAGGATTGACTTTTTAGTGTAAAATATGGTTTTTCGTTAAAGTGAACAGTACCGGGAGCTTTTCGTTAAAGTTCCATTTTTTTAATTTAACGAAAATTTTCCATAGAAGTACTAAAATGATTTAAGGTAGACTATCTCAAGGATCACTTATATCGATTTTAAATTTTAGGGACAAAAGTAATGAGTTATAACAATCTCAGAAACCATTTTAACTAAAAAGCTTATTTATTTATTGAGTATATCGATATTTTTACACTAAAGATATTAGGAGTTCGACTAAGCTACACAATGGATAACCTAATTTGGTATAGAATTCGTCATCCACGAGATTCGAACCTATGATCTCTCACTTCAAAGTGAAGAGAAATACCACAAAACCGTAGTACTAACATGAAATTAATTTTTTTTGTTTTGGCTTAATTAATTGTAGTGAATGAGGTGGCTGAGAGGCTGGCATTTTTTGCAATTGCGGTGAACATGGTGCGTTATTTGGTATACGAGATGCGACAGTCGCTGCCGACAGCGGCGACTCATGTGACGAATTGGATCGGAGCATCTTACGTCCTCACACTATTTGGAGCCTTTATAGCCGATGCTTACTTGGGCCGCTTCAAAACCATCATCACTTTCTCTTGTATCTATGCTGTGGTATGAAAGCCCATTTCCACTTTCATCTTGGATTTTCATCAACCTGGTTAGGCCCACAAGCCTTATTGGGCCGAAATTCAGATAATTGGACCCATTAGCATGGGGTTGTTTTGGGACTTTTGGGAAGTGATGGAAGTGTTTTTTTTACAAGGGTATTTTTAGGGTGCCGCTATTCACATAGCTATATTTACTTCTCATACATTTTTTGTTAATTTTGTTTCCTTTAATTATTTTTAACTCTTTTGATCCGATGACTAGAAATTGAGAGGGATATGTGGAAGATAAAAAGGGGTGTGTGAATAACATCAACCATTTTAATCACAAATGGTCCTTTATCTCTTACCATTTCATCAGTTTAGTCTTTTATATTTCGAACTCATCAATTTCATCATGAACGCTCTCTGGACAGAATTTGTCTATGTTATATACATGAAACACTTGAATTTTTCAATAAATAGCTTATGAACGTAAGTGCTTCTTGCAAAAGCCCTTACTACTTAATGTGAAAATAGGTTTAAAACTAGAGGATGTATACATAATTCAAAATTTATGGTTAAATTCCCTCAAAAATACTTTATGGTTAAATTAATGTTTGGATGTATTGATGTTAAGTGAAAACGATTTCAAATCTCAATGAATGTTGACATATTTCTAAGACTTCAATAAATCTTGTGAAACACAAAAATTCTCAAAAGAAGTTGGTGTAAGTTGAACTAACCCAATGTTTTTCTTACAGGGTATGATCTTGTTGACTGTATCAGCCACCGTGGACAGCCTACGTCCACAGCCATGCACGGTTGAACCGTGCAGCCAAGCTACCAGCAGCCAGACTGCCTTCCTCTACGGCGCACTCGCTCTCATCGCCCTTGGAACCGGTGGCATAAAACCATGTGTTTCGTCCTTTGGGGCCAATCAATTCGACGAGGCTGATTCAAAAGAAATGGTAAAGAAATACTCGTTCTTCAATTGGTTCTTCTTTGCCATAAACATGGGCGTACTATTGGGGATCACGGTGCTGGTTTACATACAAGATAACAAGGGGTGGACTTGGGGTTTCGTAATCCCGACCCCGTTCACGATGTGCTCCATTATCATTCTAGCCGCCGGTGTTCCGTACTATCGTTATCAGAAGCCTATGGGGAGCCCTTTCACTAGATTCATTCAGGTTGTTGTGGCCTCAGTGAGGAACCATTTGAGCCGAGTTGAGGTGGTGCGTGATGCTGAGCTCTATGAGGTTAAGACCGACGAGTCTGACATCCTAGGTGCACGGAAGCTAGCGCACACTGCACAGTTCAAGTGAGTTTTAATATGTCTCGTTTTTGGGCTGTATAGTAATGCACATATAATTAAGTTCTATCTTTTGTCAGATAGTATGCATACATAAAGTTTTTTAGCCAAAATAGTTATGAGATTTTCATAACTCTTCATTTTGGTTTCTCAGATTTAAAATTAATGGAAGTGGTCCCTGAGATTGACGAGATGTCTATCGTCAATCATTTTGATCATTATATGAAGAATCTCTGTTAAATTAAATAAACCACATGTTCATTTAACAAAAAATACCCTCAATTTAACGGAGATTCTTAAAGAATGATCAAAATGATTGATGATGGATAGTATCAGAAACCACTTCTATCGATTTTATATCATAGACCAAAGTAAGTAGTTATATATCAATTTCATGGACCATTTTTGATAAAAGCCCTACATATAACTGTTTTGTGTATTGTGCGCTAGCTTAATGAGCATGAACTTGCTGAAAAATGTAGTATCAAGATTGTGAATTAACTGTTTTAGAATCCCATTTGTGTGATTTAGGTAAGTTATATATTAATTGGCCACTTAATCAACTTGTTAATATGCAGGTTTTTGGACAAGGCAGCTGTGATGACAGACCCAGAAGGCAACCCAAAGAGTCGTTGGACGCTATGCACAGTGACCCAAGTCGAAGAATTCAAATGCTTTATTAGGGTTCTCCCCGTATGGGCATCAACCTTAGCTCTCGCCATCTCATTCGCTCAACTCTCAACCTTGTTCGTCAGCCAAGCCATCAAAACCGACCGCAAACTCGGCCACAACTTCGAAATTCCCCCAGGTTCCGTCCCTGTCTTCGCGGCCATCAACGCCTTAATCCTCATCCCCCTTTACGAAAAGTTCATTGTCCCCATCATTCGCAAACGCACAGGCCACCCGCGTGGCCTGACGTCGTTACAACGAATGGGGGTCGGACTCTTTATCTCAATCTTGGCCGTGGCCTCAGCCGCCTTGGTTGAGAAGAAGCGCCGAGATGAGTTCAGTCCGTTGAGAAAAATGAGCGTGTTTTGGTTGGTTCCGCAGTTCTTTCTCATTGGAACCGCCGAGGTGTTTACGTACGTTGGACAGTTGGAGTTTTTTTACGATGAGGCCACGGACGGTACGAGGAGCATTAGTAGTGCGATTTTTCTGAGTGAGATTGGGATCG